TTAGAAGAGCAGAAAATTCTGTTGGAATCACCGTATGTTGTTTCATTAGTTGGGAAACAGACTGCTTAGTGGAAGGTGGTATTTTAAAGGTTGCTTGAAATAGATAATTGACTTTCCCTGCCACCAGAAGGTATTTGGGCAGATTAAAAAGGGAACTAGCACTTCCTTAGAGGACTGTCCTGTGACGTTTTCCCACCTACTTTTCTGCCTCTTGTCCTGCACTTTGGCATTTCTTCTGTTTTTAGGTCAATGAGTCAAAAGCGTGTTTTTAGTACCTCCTCTGTGCATAGATGCGGACCCTGACTCAATAGGAGTATATAACTACCAGGGCCAAATAGATGTGTGCTTGACTGACTGCCACCAGGGGAAGGACATGCTTCCTTGAGTCCAGTAGAACTCGCTGCCTCTCTAATCCCTTCACTGTAAGGCCTCTAAATGAATGTTCAAGAAATGTAAAGGTGCATGTCCTATGTGCATCTTACAAATGTCTGTGCATTGTCTCTGTGTCCCTACATCGCAGGCATCACCTCTTTGTTTCATCCATGACTCCCTGTGTGGCCTTGGACAAGTTGCTCTCCCTCTCTAAAGCTCACTTTCTGCATCTGTAAAAAGGACCTAATATCATATATATACACACACATATATATATATGTAAAGTTATATATATTTCATTTTAAGTCTCAAAATCACTTAAGGGCATTTTTTTTTAATTGGGCAATTTTACCTGCTGCCTTTGCACATTCTGATAAGTTCCTAAATAGAAGCCTGATAGAGATTAATCTTTCAATGCCTCATAGGTAAAAAGAGAACACAGAATGATGTAGCTGGAATCTACAGGGATCTAAAGTATTTCATGGAATATTAATGACCTTGATCTGTTTATTGGTGTTCTGGAAAAGGACTCATGGTCAAATAAAAATTGGAAATGCTGAGATAAAGTGAAATAAGTTTCTTTCCTGCAGAATTTCAAAGAGTCTTTATAAGCTAATGTGCTTTGTGAATCTACAAGAAGTAGATGAGGAATAAAGTGTTTCAACACTGATTTTCCCCCAGATTCTCATTTTGGGAAATGCCATCTAGCTGAGGCAGCTAGTACATTCTCCACATGAAGATGGCGGCTGATGCTTTCTGAGAGCAAGGGAGTCCCCAGGGGAAGGAAGGATGTATCAGTTGCTCCCGTTTCATGCCAAGAATTCTTAGTGTGATGCTTTTCTCTAGAGGCTCAGAGAAGGCTAAAAGGTATCTTTGGGCCAACAGGGCTACCATTCATTGTGACCCATGCTGCAGAGAAGCTCTGAGCTTGTTGCAAAGGAGTGACCAGCCCTTAGAATTACAAAGCTAGTCTGATTCTCTTTTGCTAAGAAAACTGGAGGTCCTGTGAGTTTAGGTTGGGAAGCACCAGGTTAAAAAATGTAATTGATGTCTTCTCTCCAAGACATCTTAGAGCTTTTAATATGAAAATATGCTTTCTGCAGCTCCAACAATGGGGTAAGGTGTATAGGATTTTAAAAAGTTACTTGGCCATTAAACTCTTGCTTTGTGCAGGATTTGGGAGGCACTAGCGTTCTGGGAAAAACACTCCGGGAAACACTAATCTAATTCAACCTTCTCATTTTATCAGCAAGCAAGAGTGGGGCCCTCTCAGTTTCCTTTCTCCATCATTGTGACAAATTCTTTGGAATTGACTTGATCAAATTTGGGGGCAGCTTTGAAGAATTTATTTGACAGGTGAACCCTTTTTGTACACAAGGGAAATTTGCTGCATATATTTTGAGTTTCCATAGTCAAAAACTACAGATTAATTCAATCAACTTTTATAGAATATCACCTATACCCAAAGATACTTCAGGTATAATGGTGGTCTACAAAGATATAAACCATAATTCTTGCAATATAGGAGAGTAATAATAATGTTAAATATGATGTATAAACAGCTCACATTTATTGAATGCCTATTTGTCAGGCACTTCACTAAATATTTTAATCCTCCTGACAATTTATGAGGTATGGATTATAATAATCCCATTTCACTGTGAGGACACTGAGGTTAGGAAAGGTTAAGAAATTATTCCAAGGTCACATACAGTTAGGGAAGAGAAGACGTGTATAAACATGCATAGAAAGGTGTATCAGCTGTGAAACGTTACGAGTGATACAAAGTACTATATGAATTCAGAGAAAAGAAAAACAGTTTTCAAAAGACTTGATCAGTGAGTGTGAAGTATGTGCTGGACATTTCTGTTTGGTTACCCAACTCTCCTCCCTTCAGAGGTCAGCACCCCCTTTCTTTGGAGGAATTGTTTTCCTTTCTACTGTGAGGTCCTGGCTATGTGGTTGGGCATGTGGCCTCAAACTGGATTGATCAGAGCCTCTGGGAATTTTGGAATTAGAACCAGGGGAAGAGGATTTCCTCTTGGATGGTAAAACTGCAAACTCTCGTCTGAGATGCGGATGTCTTGTTCCCGGGTTGTGGAAGGAGTGAACTGAGGTAGGGAGAACGATGGGGATGTCGCGAGAAAGGTGGGTGCTAGAAGTGGAGCGATGGAGTCTTGGAGGGATTCTGGTCATCTTGGCTTGGGGGTTGCATCCTTGTCTTTGTTATGGGGCAAAGGACTTACCACACTTACTCTTCTGGGAATGACACTGTCCTGCTTTGCAAAATAAAATGTCATTAGGAAGAGATTAATAAAAACCTCACACCATAGAGATGTGCACAGATCCTTAAATAAAGGAAAACAAACAAACTAAAAACTCCCCAAATCCGCCAACCATTCTTTTTGAGACAGGGTCTCTCTTTAAATTAGCCTGGCTAATTTAATTTTTTTTTTTTTTAATAGAGACGAGGTCTCACTATGTTACTGGGGCTGATCTTGAACTCCTGGGCTCAAGCAGTTCTCTCACCTTGGCCTCCCAAAATGCTAGGATTACAGACCTGAGTTACTGCACTCTGCCCAACCATTCTTTTTTAAAATTGTTAATTGAAGCCGAAAAATTAACCTTGTAGTCCCAGCTACTTGGGAGGCTATTTGGGATCGCTTGAGCCCAAGAGTTTGAGGCTGCACTGAGCTATGATGATGCCACTGCTCTCTGCCCGGGGTGACAGAGTGAGACTCTGTCTCAGTAAAACAAACAAAATTGTTAACTGACAAATTATAATTGCATATATTTATGGGTACAATGTGATGTCACAATACAATGTGAAGTGATTAAATCAAGATAACATATTCATCAGCTCACATATCTATCTTTTTTGTGGTAGGTATTTTGTGTGAACATTTTAAATTTACTGTCTTAGCAATTTTGAAATTTACAATACATTATTATTAACTATAGGTGCCATGCTGTGCAGTAGATCTCAAAAAACATATTCCTCCTCTCTAACTGAAATTGTGTACACCTTGTCCAACATGTCTCCATCCCTCCCACCGCCTCCGAAAAAACCCCATTCTTTGCTGTTGAAGAGAATAGCTAACAAAGTCCCAACAGCTCTGGGTTGATGGCTTCAGTGCTTTCCCCATCACACTTCAATGACATTAATAAAAAGAGGAGGGCAATACAAGAATTTGGACAGGCTGCAAGTGGCATCTTGGCCACTTCCCTGACCTCACAAAAAAAGCCCTCTTTTTCTCATCTGTAAAAATGGGGACAATATGAATACCATTTTTTTTTTTGCCTCTGGAGAAAAAACATGCAAAGCATTTTATCAATTGCAAAACAATATGTAAGTGTGAGCTTTGCTCACAGTTATCTTGCTATGATCAAACACTTTATAACTCTGTGGCAAGTCAGCCTTACTCCCAGGAAGTGGACAGTATTTGGGGAAGAAGCAGCATCAGGAAATTTTAGGACAGCAGCTTTAGTGGGGGCAAAAATGCCTTAAGGGTGATGAGAAATAGAAGCAAAGATAAGAGTCATTTCTTCCTCCATTGGGTTTTATCCTATTAGTCGCTCTCTCTTTATTTCTATTTTCTATGGAGAATTTCTTGGTTTTGGATTTTAAGTGGGGTTTATGGAGAGAAGGCAGAAAATCCCTAGCCCCCGCAGAACGAGAGGATGCATGCAAAGGGACCTGGTACCCATTTCTTGTTTCATTTGGCTTTGTTCATTCCGTTCTGGTTAGGACATTAATAAGGGCTTTTAGTCTCCTCCTATCAAAAGCGATTAATCGGGGAAGAGTTCAGCAGTGTGGACAAATACAGTGTGGGACAAGCCTGTTTCTAAGCAGGAGCTGGGTAGGGAGTGAGAAGAGTAAGAATAAGGAAATATGTGTCGTGTGCATTGCTGCTTTCGGAATCACTACAACAAACAAACAAGCAAAAAAAAAAAAAAGTTTCCATACTACAAAGTGTGCCGCCTTGGGAGAGGCTGGGGAAAGAGGGGGCAAGTGTGGACGGCCAGGGTGGGTCCTTCTGGACTGAAGGGCCTGACAGTGTGTGATTCCCCGCAACAAATGGTCGTGGTGGGAGTGCGTACTCACACAGACACACTCTCAGCGCCCAGCCTCCGATTTCAGCGCTGGCAGAAGATAACAATTCTCAGCTCGCCTTTCCAGGGTTATTTTTGGCTGGGGCTGCTCGCTGATGGCAAAAGTGTTCAGCCCCCTCCCAACTCCCTCCTTGTCCTTGTTCAAAAGAGAAACTTGTGCGCGGAAGCCGCTCACTCCCAGGGAGACCGGGAGAGAGGGCTGCGGTGGGAGGGGAGCGGGGCCGGGGTGCGGGAGAGGAACCCGGACTTGCTCCAACTCTCTCCACTCCCGGGCCATTTGCTGGCGGAGGGTGTGCCTGGGAGAGCAGCGGTCGCCGGGGGAGGCTGGGGTCGGACGCGGGGTCCGGGCAGCTGGTCCTGGCACTGGGCTCCTGGGACACCCCGAAAGTGAGCCCAACTGGGGGAAGAAAGTGAGGGCACCCGGGAGACGCGGCGGCAGAGAAGTTAGGCGGGCGGACACTTGACAGGAAGGTGGAGGCCAAACTCTGCCGAGGCAGCGAGGGGGCGCGCGGCGCGGAGGGGCGGGCGGTGCCGCGCGAGGGCGCAGGGCGCAGGGCGTCGGCGGCTGCGGAGGGGGCCCGGGCGCGAGGCGGAGCCCCGGCGCGCCGCCAGGCTGGTGGGGGGCCCCGGCGGGCCGCAGATTCCCTCCGGCTCCGGGAGCCGCGGCAGGACCGGCCAGCAGGCGCCATGGAGGGCAGCCCCATCCCGGTGCTGACGGTGCCCACGGCGCCCTACGAGGACCAGCGGCCGACCGGCGGCGGGGGGCTGCGGCGCCCCACCGGCCTCTTCGAGGGCCAGCGCAACTACCTGCCCAACTTCATCCAGAGCGTGCTGTCGTCCATCGACCTGCGCGACCGCCAGGGCTGCACCATGGTGGTGGGCAGCGACGGCAGGTACTTCAGCAAGACCGCCACCGAGATCGTGGTGCAGATGGCCGCGGCCAACGGGGTGAGTGGCCTGGACGCCCCTCGCTTCCCACCGCCGCCCCATCCCCTCTCCTCGCCCTTGTCACCCCGCCCCATCTGAGAGTCTTCCCCGGTCCCACGTCCTGTTCCTCCGGCGTCCCTCCCGCCGCCCCCGCGCTCGAAGCCTCCCTGGCGTACCCCGAACGCCGGGGTTCGGTCAGCACCCGCCTCCCGAAAAAGACTTGAGGGGCCCCCGCTCTTCTTTGAGCCCCTCCAGACGCCCTGAACTCTTCCTTGACTCTGCCCACGTCCCACACCTGCTTTTTCTTTTAAGACATTCTCTTCCTTAGCCCTTTTCAGCAGCTCCCGGTTTTAAATATTGTTCCAACTGCGTTCGCTGCCCACCCGCCCCACACAGCCTTCTTTCTTCGGCTCCCAACGTGGTTTTCCCCTCCTTCTCTGTCATTTTTGCAATAATCTTCAAGCCCCCTAAATCTTAGCTCTGTCAAATTTAACGTAGTGTTGTTTCAGAACACACACACACACATACACACACACACACACACGCACTCCAGTTTTGATCCCTGACATATTTGGCAAGAGTGGACCCTGAAGGTTTTAAATATCATTGGTTCCTCGGTGGAATTACTGAATGATTTATTTGATTAGGGTAGGGATGGGGTAAATCAATTTGTTTGATGCTAAACAGCTCGAACTCTCAGTTCCCAGGAGGCATATCTCTAAATGGCCTGAAATGAGATTTGCAGTGGTTTTCTTAAAGCAATTCCCAACTTCTCTCCAAGATGCCTTTTGGCGTTTGACAACATTTCATTCCTCTTCCCCTTTCAGTTTTCATCCTCATTTTCTCTTTCTTCTCCCACGACCTCTGTAGTCTTCTTTTGCAATCTGAATCCTCAGACCTTGGGTTTTTCTCCTGCCCCTTTCCTCCCTATCCTACAAAAGAAGCACCTTTTGGCATATCCCCATATCCCAATTTCCTCTTTCCCAAGTCTGGCAGCATCTCAAGGATGTCTGCAAGAGGGATACCTAATTTCAGGGGTATCTGAATTATCTGTGGGAAACATTGTCTAAAAAAGTAATTTCCACTTTGTCAATGCAAGCAGACCCACACACATAGAACTTTTCATTAAGGGAAATCTCTTTTGCAGATGTATAAATGAGTGCAAACATCTTTAAAAGTAAAACTAAACAATTTCGATTCTCTCCCTCCTTCCCAACACTCTCCTTTTAATTTTCTCATTTCTTATTTAAAAAGAAACTTTAGGATTGTCCATGCTTCACCTTCGTCTGCTATAATTGTTCCTTCTCAGTGTTTCAGGGATGGGGAAAGAGGAGTTTATGAAAAATAACGAAAAGCAATTGGGAGAAATAGGGCTGGTGGTGTTGGGGTGGGTGGTGGAATTGCGATTCTGAACTCTAGCACAGTGATGCTGGAGATATGGGACTAGTATTTCTCTCCAGCTTCTCACTTGAGATTGATGAAAGCTGGCTAGAATCGGGGAGTTGGAGAGAGGTTGACAAATGGTCTTTCCCTGTTGTCTGACAAAGCTGTTCGCGTGGAGTGATGGAGAATAACGAGCCTTGGGAGGGCTGTGGCAGCTTTCATGCTCCTCCCTGGGCCAACTTTTTCAGGGAGTGAGAGAAACATAGCCTGTCCAATATTTATTGTGGGTCGGGATATTTTTGAAGCTATGGTTGTTTACTTGCATGGGCAAATGATTATTATGCCTTATTATTTCTTGGTCCACTTTATCATAAAAAAATACTCTTCAACCTCTTACTTCAATGGATCTTCTATGACTAACACATTTTAATTACTTACTCTAAGACTGAAGTTTATTTTAGGAGATAATTGGCATATATTAATATATACTTAAGATAGAGTCAAATTTAACCTAGCAGTTGTTATGAAGGACAGAATGGCAAACTAAAATTCACATAGAAGCATCAACCCTTAAATAATCTGAAAATACTACTTCTAAGAGGGGTGGACCTGGGTGAAGGGAATGGTACAAAGTTTTCAAAATTTCAAACAGCCAACTTTAACCAGTCTTTTCCTCATTTTGTTCACTTTCTTGGGGGCTTGTGCTAAAGCAAAGTGAGTAGTGAGAAGGCTGGCTTCAGGAGAAAAGTGGTCTAAAAGGACTGGATAATTGGTCTTGAATGATTGAAAATTGAAGGGAATGCACCTGTCTCCCAGTTTGTCTTGAGGAGTTAGACT